GTAGTAATAGTGGTAGTGTTAGTGGTGGTAGTGGAAGTGGTGGTAGTAGTAGTAGTGGAGGTAGTGGTAGAGGAAGGAGTGAAGAGTTTAAAAGGTGAATGTACAGTGAATGTACAGTGAGACACAGACAGTGGAGTGAGTCGACTTGTAGCCGTGTGTGTTGTAGAGGGGTGTGTGGGGGGGTACATGATGTCAGTGTGGTGTTGTTGTTAGTACACAGTCATAGTGAGTAGTGGGAGTACAGGGGAAGGTGTGGGTGAGGGTGATGACTGGATGATTATGGCCTCATAATTAGCAAGTGAGTAGTTGGTAGTGGTGGAGTGGTTGGTTAGGTGGTGAAGTGTTGTTGTGTAAGTAATTATTAAAATAATGGTATGTAATGAATGGTGTAAAAAGTTGTATGTTGTTTATATATGGCAATGGAGTGTAATGTATGTTTTGTATATGTTAAAGGTGAACTTGGGTGATTGGTGACGGGGTGATGACTGGATGATTATGGCCGTGCCCTCTCGGCGGACCCTGCTCGGCGGACACGCGCAGGCTGACACGCATCGACTTTGCCCTCGTCCGACTTCGCCCGAGGACGACCTTCACTCGAGCAGACGCCGGAACAAGAGCAGCGCTGGAACAAGCAGAGCTGGAACAAACAGAGCTAACACAGGCTAAACACATGGCTACTCACTAGGCTGACGCTTGTCACACTGAGCACTAAATACTCACCCTCTCCAATCACTCCCTGCTGTTCCCGCCTCCTCTGACGTTCCACACCACCCATCCCGCAATCAAGCCATCATGGACAACATCTGTGGAGCACAAGTCACAACAGCACAACTTCCTGATACACATTTCTACTGCTGTCGTGTCCATCTATGTGTCTCTCCAATAAATACTTACCCTAACGCCAATGTTTCATTTCTTCTCTTACTTTATCCTTCTTCCCCAACCTCGCCACACTCCACACCCCCTGCTGGACACAAACACCAAACACAACAGACACATCAGTAAATACACACACACTAGCACACATATTTCCCTTACCTTCTCCCACCCCACACATCTGCCCCGCCACAGTAAATACACACACACTAGCACACATCTGCCCCGCCCCACACAACACTACTCTACGCACACACATCACAACATCCACTTACGACACTACACTTTCTCACACCTTACCTGTGCTGCACCACACACACACACACACACCACTGCTGAGACCCCAACCACTCATTCTGTACCTCCATGACACCTCCAATGTCTCCAACACATCCACACACACTTCCTGCCACACACCACCACACCAATGTCACCCACCCACTCACACCACCTTCTTACTCTAACACAACTACATACTGTACATCCTACTTGTACATTGTACAATCCACACACACACCTTCACACACACACACACACACACATCCTGATCAACCTCTACAGCTTCATCTCAACACATTTCCTGGAATCACACTGCACAACTACACACTCCCAAACCACCTGTCCCTCACCACCACAGGACTACACCACCCACACACAACACCTTCAGCACCACACACCACTTCACATCATTCACCAATAACACCCCCCCCCCCCCACCACTCACACTTAGCTGTACACACCCCTTACTACATCACTAACACTGTCCTACCCAAACCACACTGCTACACACACCACACACCAACCCCCTTACTATCAACATCCACTACACTCACCATCAAACTCCACACAGGACCTGTACATGTCTGTACATGTGCGGCCCATTACACCTCAAACATCAGCATGCCCTGAAAACACACACGTTCAACAGCTCACTAACCCCCTCCACACTCACACCTTACACTACGGGAACTTGTGTCCAAACATGTCACCACTCCACATTCACTACTCTCCATAACCACACACACACCTTTCCTAACTCTGTCAACCACTGCAAACACCACCTACACATACAAACAACTACTGACTTGGAAATTATCCACTCCACACCAACACACACACCACAACAGATTAAATAGTCCACATCACAACAACTACATCGTTTCACCCCCACCTCTACTACCCCACACCACACATCTGTCCTCTCCTCCTCATACCTCCACTTACACTCACTTCTTCTCCACACCTGTACCACTCACTTCCATATCTGCCACTTTCCAATCATTAACAACTTCAACACACATATGCTACTACTTACCCCTTAAACCCGCTACTCAAACACTTTAGACCTACAACTGTCCAACACACCTTCTGTGTTTACTGTCACACCACTTACATCACTACACACACAGTCACCAGCACTAACCTCAGCCAGCACAGCAAACACCACCATCTCTGCTGCACAGACACAACTCAACACCTCCAACTACGACCCACAGACAACATTCACTTCACCTACAACACTGACACCTCCCTGTTTCTCCTCACATTAGCTCCCTCACCACATCACACCCACTGACTTCATGTCCACATAACTGGGGTCACACAACAGTCTCTACTCCATTTCACTTCCACGGGTCACACAACAGTCTCTACTCCATTTGTGTGTCACTCCTACTGTGTGTCACAATCCACTACATAAACTCTTCACTTATTTTGGATTTGTTTTATCACCTTCTAACATCACTACCCATTTATTCTACTGCCCCATCTTCTCCATCACTGCAACGCTACTAATACTCCCTCATTCTCTATTTCGCCCAACTACTTCCTCTTCTCTGCATCCCTAACACACACACACTCTCTGTACAAATACACCAGCTACAGACCCACATCAAGGTTCTCACATCTTCTTCTCTGTGTTCATTACCTTCACACCACTGGGTCTACTCCTTTCACCCACTTACTTCAGTTTCAGTACCATGACACCACATCACATACAAACTCACCAACTCCTACAACATCCAGGACTCCACCCACTACTATGACACCCTACTCCTTCTCAAACAACAACAACAACAACAACATACTGTAACACTTTACTATGTACATACTGCCATATTCTTTGTTAGTCTGTCTGTTTCCTACATTCCCTACCTTTACAATAACACCCTCATTCATTCCACAACCTACATCCCACCCACACTCACCTCTGACCCACCCTGGAGAGCTACACAACACCACTACTAATTCCCACACTCACACATTACCCACCACATCTCACGTCTGCTGCCATCCAGTGGCATACACACACACACACAACACAGTCCATCACTTTCACAGCATCACTCCACCGTACACACATCACTCTTCATTCCAACCTACCTTGGACCGCTGTGTGGCAGCTCCAACTCAGTCCAGGTCTCGTCTCCAACACGTCACTTCTTCAACCTGTTGAACACATACTGTACATGTCATTTCCACCACAAACTCCCTCACTCAGTCACTCACGTCTCATGCCAACAATTTACAACCACAAATTCAACTACCAATAATGCTAACGTTACATTCACAAACCCCATTAATGAAGGGCCTCCAACCAACACACGTCAACTTCTGTTCCCCGAGATCAACGACCGTACATCACCATTTGCCTTACATGTTATCCATCACAACAGTACCCCTACATACGACCTTTAACCCTTCCACTACAGCACTCATACATCCATCCTCTCTATCTACATTGTAGCCCCCCACCCCCCAAAAATCAACCAACAACATCACACATACACATTCTTATATACTTTCACATACATACTTTTTGCTCCACTCCCATGGACAGCAAATACTCCATCTATACGACTGAAGCAACACACCACTGCTGCTGTGGAACTAATAACACTCGTATTCATTACTTCAGCCAACTGGTTTCCACTGTAAACCCTTTCAAATGCCACATGCAACCACACAATTATGACTCTGTTACACATTTTCCATCCACTCACTTTTTGCATACCACTGCAGCTAATCGCATCATAAGTACGTTAAAACTGTCATAATTACTACACTAAGATTTACTACATTACAATAACAACAAACTGTCATAATTACTACACTAAGATTTACATTACAATAACATCAACCTTTATTATTTTGCTTACTTAATTTTGCTTACACTCATTTCTACTATACTATTACTAGGAATAAATATTATAAAAACATTATTACACCACCATCACATTGGACAGTATACCTCAGTTTCTTTTCTCTCCAACCTCCTACAATTATTTCTTAACACTTCTGAACTTTAGCCACTTGTCCATAACTTTTTGTGTTTCCTAAACATTCACACATTTACTCGTCTCCACAACAACAACATCCACATCATCATCAACAACAACATCAACAACAACATCCTGTGTCTGTCTGCTGAAAACGTTCAGCATCCCTGCGCTAACACGTCACCCACACCGGATATCGGGAACCTCTACATTGACATGTTATTGTGCACAAAATCAACACCACTCGTTATTACCATGTTCATCTTGCTCTGATAACTAATACTGAAACACCGACACTTCTTTTTTCCCCTTCTTTTGTTGGAAAAACTTACGCCTTAATGCTACACTCCTTTACACATTACAACATTGTTAGCATAGCACACACTCCTCACTCGACAAACGAAATAACTCACCTCTTACCGATCGCCTCACGCAGTCTTCGCATCCATCCCACGTCGAATCATCCGCTTGATTTTTCTAATGGTGTGTGACTGTCTCACTACCCGTTTATTTCGCCATAACTCGGGAATACCAACAGCTAACCGTCGTAACTCCGCCATACCATTAGCAACAAGCTAACCTGTCGATTACCGCCAGGTGCGCAGCAACGCCTGGTGACGTCGACTGTCTGTGTCACTAACACACAACATCCATTACAACGACTTTACAGACTTTACAGAAAACATCCTGTTACCTCTTCCTCCTTTTCTAACTTTGTGAAACACTACTTCAACATCTTACTGCCTTTCTCTCACACTTTCACTCATACTTCAGCCAAACTGCACAACTCACCAACACATAACACTCACAACACAGTTGCAACATTTCATTGAACACCCTACACAGTTTGTACAATATGTTGGCTGCATTTAATGGTTTCAAACACAACATGTTCAGCAACAAATCACAACATGAAAAGACAGTTTGCTTTTAACATGTGCCAATACAACTTCATCCTCCTTTCACAGGAAACACCAATACCATCACTCTGAACTGATTGGTAACTTGTAACTTTACATAGTGAAACAAACACAAAATCTGACAACAACAGAGGATTCCACCTCCTCTGCTTATTCACATGTCATTACAGAACGATTGAAATAAAAGCAAAGCGTGCATGACATCCTTCAGAGAACACAACACTAGAACCGCTGCTACTACATAGCTCTGACTGACAGTCCAGAAGGAAACACAACAGTCAGATCTCTGACAACAACATTTGCCTTCACAGTGTTTCTGATTGTCCAAGCAACGTGTACGTGATTCACACAGATGCTACTGAAGCAACACATCACATTAGTCCTCCACCATCTCACCCACACCTCAACTGGAGCCTCACGATGCCTTCAAACAACTGCTGGTTTGGATTCTTCACTGACAACACTCCTAACTGTAGCTCCGTGACAGCACACATTAACTTTCTCCATTTATAGACAGATTTCACACAAACAATTACCTTGCAAATACACTAATCTTCAGGCCTCTCCCAACACTAACATCAGCCACAACTTCACTGTTGTTACCCTAACATCTCAGTTAGCTTCTTGCCTTTTACTTTGCTCTCCTCACTCAGAACTCCTTTGTAAACCCAAACTCCTTCACAGTATAAACACTGTTTGGGGAGTTTCCTCTTCACACCAACTGATCCTGGACACTCCAAACTGCTGCCACTGATGACAAATACTGCTTCATGACAAAATGCTACTTTTACCATCGTAACTACACTGCCCAAAACAGGACTTCAAACCACCTTCCCAGTAACAACAAATAACCCACACATTTCTAAAAAAAACATCTGCAAATGAACCTCACGTTGCATAGCTACCCATTTGAACAGTTCAGGATTCTTCACCTTGATAAAACACTTTTTACGCTAACTTCTCAAACCTTCTCTCTGCCTGACATTTGACATTAGTCACAATAACATCAATCCAATTAGCCTACACATTCGTTTGTAATTTCTAACCCAACTTCCATCACCTCTACACTGCCGCTCCAGGAAGACACACCAAACCCACAGCAGTGTCTCCTCCACCCACACCTTTCCCTCTGCAGCTCACTTCATCTCACCACCTCCATTTCCAGTCACTTCCTGTCCTACCTCATCCGTCTTAGTTACCAGTCCGCATGTAGGTTAAACTGATATCTGCCTGTCTGACACTCAGTGCGTGGCACCACAGGTCCTACACCATCTGTGAACCCACCTACAACCAGCAACTAACACCTCACTGACAGTTGACATGACCTCACTTCAACTGTTATTTTTTTTCCAGGCCACAAACTGACTTGTTGTTCCACTTTGACTTGGATTTACATTCATACCATTACTGTACACCCCTGCCTCACAGTTTTTCACTGCTTCACCCTGATTGGTTGTTGAACCATCACAAATCTCCAGCTCTAATCTCTCCATCTAATCTCTGTCCTACTTTTTACACCAGCTATCACTTCTTAATGACATAAGTTTTGTGCAAAGGATACTGTTCACCTTTTCCACCAGGTGGAGGCGTGGCACTGCCCGACAGTGAAGCTACAGTTCTGACCTCTCTACAACTTCCATCCATCCTGGGCTCCAGCTTTTACCTTGTCACAAACTAAAACAGCGTTGGTGAGTTAACATGTGCAAAGCAGGTGAAACCTTAGCAGTGTGTCAATGTTTTCTTTTTGTCTTTTTTTTTTAATGTCCATCCACTCTGGGGCTGCCAGGAGTCCATGTGTGTGAGGAGCTCTTCCCAGAGTCTGCAGACTGCGAGTACGTCTCCTTCTGGTCCGTGACACCCTGCCCATCACATGCACGGGAAGGAGGGTGAGGAGAGGGAGCAGCACGGCGGCCCAGACGGGAGCTGTGCATGATGTGAGCGTCCAGCATCTCCAGCAGCAGGTCGTACAGAGGCACCATGTTCTTCATCTTCATGCAGTGAAGGTGGTCCATGCCTTTGTTGCTGCAGACGAATCAACAGGAAAAGACGGAAGGGAAGAAAACAGTCACACCTCTAAAGACGACAGATCCAAATGACATCCATCTTCAGAATCAACCTCCCCATACTGACAGGAATTAAAACTTTATTCTTTTTCAGTCTCAGATGTTTACCTGACATGTCGGATGTGCGACAGCAGCATGAGCAGGTGAGCGAGGCGGGTGTACTGCTGACGGAACGACAGGCCGCTCTTGGCGATGGCCCACACCAGAGCGTCGGTCATGGCATCCAGGAGACGCAGCAGCCTGGAACGACTCTGTAGCTCCTCCCCTCCGTCTGAGGAGCTCAGGCACATGTCTGTCACGACATACGTGCACAAAGACAAACACGTTAATGTTTACCACGGCCCTACACACCACAACAACCACACGTTTAAATCATGTCTTTCTGCTGCAGCAATGCTGGCCCTCTGCCTCATTTTATTTAGTCTCTGACAGGCCCAGTAGGTGGCAGTAATTCAACTCTAATCACCCTGGGTTTCAGTCTCATCCAACAGTTACTGACTGTTAGAAAAACGTGACCATCAGCTCCCTGCCTGCACAAACAACTACATCTCCAAACACATACTGCATAATAAACTTTAATGTCAACAAACACAGTTTCCATATTTAATACTTTCACTTCCCTGTTGTTCACATTGTGATGTTTCTGGTTGAAAATGTAACAACAAACACAACGACAAAGACATCAGGTCACTACTGAGCTGCATCCACAAATGCACTTCAGCAGCCCCTACAGGGATAAACTTGAACCTACACGCACACTGAGTATTGCAAAAAAAACAAAAAAACCCTTCCACAAACACATACACACACATATCTCTGACATACTGATACCGTTCACCCACTCACATCACTGTTTGTTCCTCACAGCACTCTGCAGAACCAATTTCAAGGAGCAGAAAAAACCTCACCTCCTCACCGTGTTCCCATTACAGCGGCTCACTTCAGCTCTGCAGCCAGTCTCCTTGCCAACGTCGCACACCGCGACACACCAACAACAATACACACAATACACACCAACCACACACTGGACTGTGGTTTCACATACAGCAGTACATCCCCCACCCCCCAAACCCACCCATCGCACCTACAGATGTACTCCTAATCTTAATCCTAACCCCAGTCTTGCACTAATCCTAACTCCTAACTACATATAACGACTCATACTACACTCTCTCCTGAAAAAAAAAAAAAACATTTCAACACAGCACCTTGCCCCAGACACACACAGACAGACACAGACACAGACACAGGCGTGTACTCACTGGAGTTGAGCAGGATCATGGCCTTCAGACACACGTACTCCTCTCTCTGCAGCTTCAGCTCCCTCACCCTGGACGTGGCAGCTATCAGCATGTCATAGATCTCCACGAAGCCCTGGACGCAGCTCCCCTCTTCTCTGACCACACCAAGGACGACACACACACACACACATCACTTTGTTTGGTTTCATCATGTGTTCATTTTTTTTTTTTTTTTACACCAACCACTTCACCTCCTCTGCAGCACCACACCACCATTCTCAACTTCATCACCAACTCTCTCAGGAAACTACTTTTTTTTTTCCAACACTGTTTTACTGATTACACCCTATTAAAAGTGGTGCAGCCTGCAGTTCACTGAGTCTCACGTCCGTTGATAAGATCGACCACACAGGAGGTGATGTCATGCAGTCAATTAATTTCAACAGGATGACTGATCACTTCCTTTGACCTGAAGCTATAAATTACCAGTACACACACTATCTATCTATATCCTGATTGGCAATGTTTATATATATATACTGTATATATATATAAAATAAAATGCCATTCAGGACATTAATCCTTGAACATATATATATATATATATACACAAGTCCAAATTTCAAAACATTTACAAACAATACATTTCTATTTCATTTTTCACTTTTTTTTATTTTCTATGTTATTAGATCGGCACTATATATTATTATTAATATATATTTTTTATTAATACATACACAAACAAACCAATAACTTATTTATTATATAACAAAACCAAATACTTCAACCACATTCTGCTTTCACATAAACACATCCAAGTTGTGTTTTTCCACTATCAACACATTAAAGGGCCACTTCAGTGGTTTTCTTTGTCGTTTTCTTTCTCTTTAACACACTCATATCCAACAAAACCAAAGTACAGTGAAGTTCTGATGCCACTCACCTGCTGAGGCTGAGGTCAGGGGAGAAGATGAGTTTCCCAGGATGGTCCACTGACCTCCACATCAGCCCCATCATCAGCACCTCCAGCCAGCAGCACTCCAGCAGGTGCACCTGGTCCAGGAGGTTCAGATCCACAAACCCTGAGGAGGAGATGAAAAACCAAAAAAAACAAAAAACAAATTTTAATTATTTATATAATTACAACCAAACACACTTTTTTAAGGTGAACAATCCAACTCCAACCAGCGTCACTGGATGACAGAGTCCGTATTCAGCACCGTACCACAACCACACACACCTGGGATCTTCTTGGCCCAGGTGATCATGTGGACCAGCTCCTTGTCGGCCAGGTTGGTGAGTGACATCATGACGGTGGCCTCCGTCATGGGCCCGCTCATGTCCCTCATGAGGTAGATGTCGGGCGGCTCCGCCTCCATGATCCTCGCGATCAGCGCCTCCGGTGTCAGCACCGGGAGCTGCGGCTCCTTGAGCAAACTCTCCGCTGGTGCAGCTGACGCCTTTGGTCCGTTGAGTTTGCTCTGCGTGGACAGACGGGTCAGTCGCCTCGACTTAGGGGTCCGGTAGCTTCCGTGTTCCTTCCTCATACCTTGGATGAAGAACAGCGACACATTTTCACATTTTCTATTTGCGTTCTGACAGATTACAGTCTACTGTATTTCATTTGTGTTTTAATATCTGTGCAAAAAAATGACTGGACTCATCTGACATTTTCACAAACTCCTGTCAAAATAAAAGTCTTTTCACAGCTTCCTTCACATGGGAACCACAGCACAAACAAAACACAGACTTTGGAACACAAACAATACTTTTACAGTCCTTTACTTTCTTTTACTACCTTTATCACCACACATGGTTCTCAACATACAGTCCCTCTCTGCTTCCTGTACATGGCTCTGAGCACCTGTGATTCCCACCGATGTGTGCCCACATTCGTGGAATTTCTCTTGTGTTTCCTTGGAAACTTATTTTTGGAGGACTTCTCCATTTTGTACACTAGGGGGTGGCGTACGGTCAGGGCATCGCCCCAGGCAGCAGGGGTTTTCAGCAGCTTCAGTGTGTGTTCTTTTCATATACTTGAGAACTCCATGTCCCACTAATGGACTCTTGGTACCACTTCTCTCAGCTCTCCTTCGTAGAACTGCTAATGGACCGCCACCACTGAGCCAAAACCATGACACACTTTTACTATTTTTGTCAAATAACTTAAGTTTTTCAATGCACCTTGCAAACAGGAAGGCCTAATTATTTCTTTTTTTTTTTGACTTAATGACACAAATCTCACACTAACAAGGACACAGAGGCAGGGTTTATTTTAGTACAAAAAAACAAACCCCCCCCCAAAAAAAAACCATTCTCCACGAGGACAAATGAGTCACTACACACGACCATTAGACGTAATCACACCGGTCTAAAAACTCAACAAAAACAGCAGCGACAGAATCTAATGCCCTGCTGTTGAACCCGCGCATCATTAGTGTCATAGAAATGCAAGTCCAACCACAGACTACCGGAATACAAACAGGAAGTGAAGGCTACTGTGTGTGTGTGTCTGTGCAGGTGACGATCAGAAGCCACATCTCAGTCACTGTGTAACCTTTGGTCTAGTTCCTGTAACGGAACACTGAATCCTTCATCATCTACTCAAATACTAATTTTATTTATAATAATAATAATATTATTCCTTGACAGGATGAAAGGAGACTCACCACACTTGGTCATTCCAACCTCGCAGCACTTTCGAAGGCGACACGCCTGGCAGCTCTTACGGCGATTTTTGTCGATAGTGCACTGATTGGTGGCCGGACAGATGTAGTCGTTGTGTCCTAAAATAACACACACTTTATATATATATATCTATATATACACACATACATATATACACACACATATATATGTATATATATAAATATATACATATATACATATATAAATATATATACATATATACATATATACACACATATATATATGTGTATAGACCGCAGAACTCTCACTTCAGGGTCTGTTTCCTGAGAACATTCCGGCTATATATATATATATGTATATATATATATATATATATATTATGAATCATTAAAGTGTGGGAAGAATTCTAAAAGTCACCCTGGATGCTCCTCTTGAAGAAGGCCTTACATCCTTCGCAGGACCACACGCCGTAGTGATAACCCGAGGCGAAGTCGTGACACACGGCGCAGAAGTGATGATCCGTCTTCCGGTCACATGACACCACGCCCTCCTCCTTCTCCTGGGAGCGTCTCCTCGTGCTTTTGCTTTAAACATAAAGTCACAAATTAGACTTCATTAGACTGAACTTTCAGGCCTGTGAAAACAGACACTACATTGTAGACGGGCAGATAAAGCTTAGCCATCTCTGTGGGAAACATTACATTAATCAACAACAACAGTTGATCAGTTACTACTTCACACTAACAGACACTAACCACGGTCAACGCTGCATTTCCTGGTAGTTTTTTTCCCATAAATGCTTACACAACAACAGCTTTATAACAGTCTGAACAAACTAATGGTTCGCCGTGTTGCTAATGACATTTCACGTTGCCATGGTGACGAGAACTGCAAATTGCATTTGATAATGTTTCATTACATTCTTTCTGACTTTCACCTTCATTTCACCAGAAACGCTGGGAAACACAGAAACCCTGACTTTGGTCAAACACTGTTCTAATTGTTCAATACAGACTCCCTGACTTCTGCCTCACACATATTCTCAAAACAAACCACAAATCACACCCGACACATACAAACACAGTCACAACATCACAACACTGTCACCGCAACACCTGCTCTCTCACTCTCTGCTTAACACACTCTCCCGTGGCGTTAACTCCACCCACGTCCTCTGCAGGGTCGGAGCATGCTGGGGTCGACCCTGTGGGTGATGCAGCGGAACGGTTGAGCCCACGCGTCCATGTCCGGCCCAGAACACGGACGGGCTGAGGGACTGACGCCCAGAGGAGCCGTCGGCGACGCTGGGACTGGGGTAGGTGAAGATGGTGGGGCTGTAGAAGGGAAGGCTGGCGGTGAAGTCGTGGCCCAGATCTGTGTAAGGGGAGGGGATGCAGATGGGATGGCTGGGGTCCAAGGTCATCCCCGGAGAGGAGGAGGAGGAGCAGGAACTGAGGATGGGGGAGAGCATGCATCCTCTAACGCGGCTGGAGCCCACCTCCTGCAGCTGAAGGAGGGGCTGCTCCTTCTCCAGAGGGGCGGTGGTCATCGTTACAACAGGCAGCCTGGGTGTCGACGCAGCTCCTACATCATCAGCGCCAACTGTGGCCAGAGGACAACGTCGCTGTCATGATCTACGGGGACTGGGACAGATAAGACGAGGACGCTGCACTCGACGCTTCAGCTCACATGGTCAACCCACGGGCTGGTGAATAAATGTTACCCAACTGTTGGCTCACCACCGGGCCTTGACACAGTCCAACGGTCAGTGTGTGTGTGTGTGTTCACAGCTCACTCCAGGTCTGACCTCCACAAACTTCTGCACATGGATTCAATCAAAGTTTGTTTTTTTGTTTTTTTGCAGCTGAAAGACAAAAAAAACAAAACAAAAAAAAAACATAATTTAGGTTTTGTTTGACCTAAAAGTTCAAGGTTGGAGGAGATAAAGTTGAGCTGTCTCTGGTTTCAATGTTTTTTTCAATCATCACCAGAGTGAAATCTTGTTCTGAACTGCTCTAATAACGTCTCTGTATTTAAACCAGCTGTGAAAGACACCGTGATTAATACCAGACATTTTCACATGGTTCCAGGACAAAGACATTACATTTAAAAAAAAATAAAAAATTACATAATTCCTTAATTACTACTTTCTTCATTTAAAAAAGAACCTTTTCTCCAAGTAAGGCACAGCCGGCACGATGTCACTGCCTAAAAGAACAGAACGTGTTTGAGTGGAACTCATAAAAAACACGAGCTGCTGCTAAATCTAAAAAAAAAAAAAAACGGGTTTAGCACACAGGAAAATAGACTGCAACTTAAAAAAAAAAAAAAAACCTTTTTCAAACTCCAGCTTCATAAAAACATCTCAAAACAACAAAAACCAAATCACCTCTTCACACACACCAACGATTTCTTACTACACTTTGATCTTTCTGCACAACCCAAAAGACATTTCTTACAGTAATTATAACAAAATAATCTGGACCACTTGTCACATCCTGGGGCCAGATTCGGACCGTGGGACTTACTTTTGACCTCATGGGCCCAAACCTTCCTTCTGAGCTACTTTTTTTCTTAGATTGTGTATAAATCCTGCCACTCGGTTGCAGAGCGCTGTAGGTCAACAGTGAGTTCCTCTCTAACCCACAGTCTGCCACGCTAATGCCGTCGGACGCAAAGCTGCGAAAAGCAAAAATCCAGGGTTTCCTGTTGGATCAGGAAGAACTCCGCCGAAGGTGTGCCGTGTCTGAGAAGTGACAGAAGGAGGAGGGAGAGCGAGATTTATACTGTACTTTCGACCAGAAACAGCTGCTACATCAATAATTGCAACACAAACAGCCACAGCGACGTCAGGGCTTCCTTCACTTTACAACAACGTCTGATACGAAGAGTCCACTCCAGTTAATCATTCCTGGGTGGCAGCACACTCTGACTCCAGTCACTGTCGGCGCGCTTTGGCATAAAGTTCATCTCTGAAACCCCTTTCTCTGACAGTCAACAGGGAGGAGGAGGAGGAGGAGGAAAAGGGGGAGGAGTGGGGGGTCATTAATCTCAGCACATAGCTGAGAAAAGCTTTGGTAGAACGAGCCAACAAAGCCTAACAAACCAGCGGAGCTGGACGAGCTGTGCCTAAAGAGTGAAAGCAGCTCTGCAGAGAAAAGAAGGAAAATCATTATTACATTTGCCAGACTCTAATTACACTTAACGTCCCGCAAAGTGCTAACGTGAATTTTCTCCCAAATTAAATCCCGACTGACAGTTCCAGCTGTGAGAGCACAGCAGCCGACGGAGCCGTACACCTACTTCACAACACCACTGACATATGACACAGTGAGTACAACAGTTACAGGACAAAAAAAAAAAAAAGGAAAAATAAATATCACGCTGCTGATTTGCCGCCAACTCTGCAGCCGTTCTGTATTTTTGGACCCGGACTCTGGACCACCAGCCTCGTCCACTCAAAACTAATGAGGGAAATATATTTCATGTCTGTTAAAGAGGCAGGTGATGGCTCTACACACCGTGTCTCATTGCTCTTTATTTAACCAACCGCAGGTCTGCAACCCGCGGCTCCTGAGCCACATGGGGCTCCCCAGCCTCTTGACATTGGATCCATGGAAGATGACATTTAATATCTGGAACAAATTTAATCAGAGTAAGAGTGAGTACGCCTGATGTCCATTATTGAGAGATGGGGCAAAAAATTGATTTTTCTTTTTTTAATTTACAAAACAATTTGGAAAATGTTTTCGTTTCATTCCTGGACTAATGGTTCTGTCCTCATCTGTAGCAGAACTGATTCACAACAGATCAGGGTTTTTAACAAAAGACACGAGGACGAACATGATCCAATTTCACAGACGTGTTCAAGGTAACCTGAACTGGAAACATTTTTAATCGAACTAATGACCACACCTTGGCCTTCACACACACACACTCACACACACACACTCACCCGGCTAACGGATGAAACATTGATCTCAACCGTTACCACCGAGCGACCCTTTTGGTTAGCGGTGTGTGTCGGCGGCAGCAGCAGGACAGTTTCAGCCCCGTCTCTGTTTTCTTTTGCTTCGTTAATCCTTATCTGACACGCGGGCCAAAAACATGGCTGAAAATCAAAGGCAGTCCGGGCTACTCTGAGTTTGAAGTTTGATTAGCTGCAGGTTAAGTCACCATGGATGATCGATGGTGATGGAAAATTAAACACAAGTTTAAAAACCAAACAAAAACAAAAAAAAAAAAACACTTATTTTTCCCCCACTCTCTTTGAATAAATCCAAAAACAAATGAGTCATTTGAGGTGAACGGACAAAAGAGTATCTGCTCCACCCACTCAGGACGGCTGCTCCTGCAGGAGTCTCACTCACCACAATACATCTGTGTGTGTGTGTGTGTGTGTTCTTTTAATAGAGATTTAAACAAGGTTTAGTTCAGGGACATGGCAGCAGGTGGGAAATTCTATTCAGGGCCGATTCAGTCTGTTCTCAACCAATAGGTTCTGTCCCTCAGGGAAAGACCTGAGGATGGCTTCAGGTAACCATGGCAACAACTCCACACTGAGAGACAGAGAGACAGACAGTGTGTGTGTGTGAGAGAGAGAGAGAGAAAGTCTAACTCAGCATCTGTGTCTGTCTGTCCTGGCTGTACACCAGGCACCGAGCTGTGAGGCTGTACACCTCCAGCCATGTCACCACCAAACTTCACCGGAGTCTGTAGTAACGACATTAAAAATGTCACCACCAAACTTCACCGGAGTCTATATCTCTGTGACTACACGTCCCTGCGGAAACACTCCAGAAAGAAAAGGAAAACATTTGGCTCTTCCATTTTAAGCCTAAAGATTCATCTACTGCCACCTACTGTACAATGTCCACATTTAGATTACAATTACCATTCAAAATAAACCCAGAAAAAATAATTTAAAAATATGTCTAAGAAACATGGAAACAGAGAAACTACAGGTAGAGGGCAGTGTTGCTACAGACAAACACACTTTTTCCAGTTGTTTAATTTTTTTTATCCAAATACGTGATTTTAGGACAATGAAGTATTTCTTGAAAAGAAGGGTAGATCTTTCTGCCCAACAACACTGTGCCGAGTTGCGAGTCGGCAAACGTTACAATGCCTTCCTCGTGTATTATTTTCACACAAGAACATCGTCCTCACATCCTGATCGTTTATAAACAGAGCTAAATCAAGACCCGTCTGAAGTGACCGTTCCCGGCCTTTAGCCAGAAGTGCATGCCTGCAACACAAAAGCTCAAGGCCACGATGCTTTTCCCATCCCCACGTCTCAGCGCCTCCCTAAAAAACTGGGCGGAAACGGATGTGAAGAGAACGCTTCGCAGAAAGAAACCCCAGCTTGTTACACGGAGTGAGGGAGTACGAGTCGTGATGTCGCCGCAGGTCAAAGGCGAGAATGTGAAGCATTTCACCGGATTGTTGAAGCCCATCAACAAAGAAAAAAATCAAGAAGAAGTTGTTGGGGAAAAAAATGAACAAAATAAAAACTTTGACCCGCGGGCCACAATGAGTCCTAAGATCTGACGGTGAGGGCGGTGAGGGAGGAGGGGTCAAGAGCAGAGACATGAAGTGTTCGTATGAAATAAGACAAACTACATGTAAAAGTCATGCTTTTAGACTTTCTACGCCACCAATTGGGCAAATGCAGGCACTGCAGGAAAAAGGCAGAAGTATAGTGATACGAATCAATAACATAATTCAGACTAGTGTGGCGGGCCGGAATCAAACGCCCAAACAGAGCCGTAGTTTGCCTGTGCCTGTTCTCGCTGAGACAGAGAAAAGAACGGAGTAAATTAACAAAATGCTCTCATTCAACAGGAGGGATGAGGAATGACTTGGAAACGCAGTTTATTCTGCAAGAGGGAAAATTATCACATCGGTCTGAGGGGAATATTCACTGGACACAACATGAACAGGGAGCTGATAAATCTTCATCCCAGTCTGGACCTCAGTTCCCTCACAGAAAAATTAGGAAGAAAAAAAACAACCCTTTCACACTGTTCTCCACTTCTCCGGACCACCCAGAGCAAAGACCTCTCCATTTAATTAAGAACCTCATAGGAATTACAGACACAGCAGTAACTAATGTCGTCCAACTGAATGTGGCTCAAACTCGGAGCACGTTTCAGCAGCGTTCACGTTCTCTGACCAGTGAACTGCTGCCTTCTGGACAAAAACAAAAAAATCAAGGTAATCAGGAAACTCTAACACAATCAACGGGTGAGAAATTAAGCTAAACTCTGCAGGAAAATGAAAACAAAAAAATTTAGTTTCAATCTTCAGATACACAGAAACATGATCAAAAAACAAAACTTAAAAAATAAATATTACAATACAGTCACTCAAAGTGACAAACAGCCAAAAATAGTTGCACACTAATTTAGTTACTCATAATTGCTACACTCAGTAATTATTTTTATTTATTTATTTTTTTGTTTTTAAACGTGGAGCTGAGAGAACAGGACGGAGCTCAGTGCTGCTCCAGGTTCTGTTTATGGACAACAGAGCAACAGTGAATTATTCTGTTAATTCACTGTCATCAACCAGTCACTTCATGCTCACACTGCACAAAACTATCGGCAAAAATATGAACGGGTGGATCTGAAATCTATACATAATAAATAAAAAAATTAGTTTAAACGACAACATCAGTCACAAACTAAAATATATTAAAAAAATACTCACGAAAAAACTCACATCAAGTCACCAGTCAAATTTCATAAATCGACTGCTGCAGTTCTATATAAAAATTAAAGTTTTTTCTTCCAAACCTACTGGTTTCCATACAGTAAAAAAACAACCGTTCACACTCTCATTCACACTCAATCTAGAGTGAATAAATGACCCCAATGCTACATGTTTTTCAACAGTGTCAGGAAACAGAACCTGGACTGTTTTACTGTACGACTTCAATAACTTCACCGAGAAAATAAGTCCTTTTTTTTCCATGTAAAAAAACAAAACAAAACTAATTTCTTCGCTTCACCGTCATAATCATCACAAAGTGATGAAGAAATTATTCAAAGCTACATTTGTTTTCCCTTCATTTGTATATTTTGTAAACACAATTTATATCAGAGCTAATATTATGTCTGTAATGAAGTGGTTTGACAAACTATCGCAGTCCTTTTTTTCTTTTTTCTTTTTTTAAATTGATGAAACAACTAAAACTGTTCCGTTCACAGAGAGGTTACTAATATGTTACACAGTAATCCAGCCTTTTTAATCCAGGAGATTTTTCTATTCTGATGAACTGTTGAAAACTGAACACCAACCAACGACAAATATTTTCAAGAATCCACAAAAATCCCTAACAGCTGTGGTTTGAAACCCGGGGATTTATAAAAATGTAAACGGCCGTGAGTTAAAACACTCCACACAGTGACAGTGTGTGTGTGTGTGTAACAGGCAGCTGCATGTTTACCCAGTGATAAGTGCTTTTTGAAGTGGACTAATGTGCACATCACAGCATGTTTCAACTTAAACGCCTGCTGCACAAACACACACACACACACACACAAAACAAACATACATACACTCTACAGCCGACCATCTGACGTCACTTCACCAGGGTAAAATTATTAGAATTTTTTTTTTTTTCCAATCCTAGTTGCTGTTTTGCCTCTTCCTAATCTCACCAGGATTACATAGCTTTGGGATTTTTTTTTTTTTTTTTTGGAATCACTTCAGAGAAAACACGCATCTAATCTGATAGCTTTGGGATCAGGCCTCCTGCTCCTCCACCTCCTCCTCCACCACCTCCTCCTCCTCCTCTTCCACTTGTTGCTGACAGCCTGGACTCATTCTGCCCCGGGACACTTTTTCCTTCCTGCGCCCCCTGCACGTCGCCTTCAGCTGTGACACTAACACGACTGTTGTGTGAGTAAACATGGGGACTGTCCTACCAGCAGGAGCTGCAGTCAAAGTTGTTGGCGATCTGTGGAGTTCCTCCTCCTCCTCCTCCTCCCCCCCCCCCTCAACAGCAGCAGCAGCAGCGGCGGGAGCAGAGGGCACGAGAAGCTCCGGCATCGACCAACTTCTGCGACTGATTGCGTGGATTTGAAGACTCGACCGTTTCTTTTCAGCGCAGAGACGAACCGGCAGCTGCGTTTAGGGAAATGATGTCAAGTGAGACGTACGGCGATGTGAACAGGGATCCTTCAAAATAAAAGCACGCAAAACACCTGACAACTTTTGTTCTGATGTTTTCATCCGAATCATTGGAGGAAAAAAAAGTTATGAGCATTAGTTATTTGAAAGCTTCATTAATATTTCTACCATTTCATGAATTTTTTTAACTTTGCCTTTTTACAAAAATTTTAAAAAATGTGATCAAACTAGGTTTTAAAAAACTTTTTTTTTAAATATAATATAATAATAAATATGTGATAATAGCTGTTCCTTAAAAATAATTACTTGTTTTAAGGTGAAGCTAAAACCATTAACTTTTTTTTTGATGAATAATGTATGATTTACATTTACATAAAACATAACTTAACAAAGGTAGGCCCCCTACAGGACAGTGAGAGCACTTACTCCATCAGTGTTTACAGTTGGGAGCTGAACTTTCAAGTGACAAATGACAAGAAATGTAAAATTAAACACGATAATGATTGAATTTTTCCCCCCACTGTTTGTAATTAACTTTAACTGCCCTTTCATGCATATATTACTCTGTTAAATGACGGTCAATCACTGAGTGTAACTTTAACTGCCCTTTCATGCATATATTACTCTGTTAAATGACGGTCAATCACTGAGTGGCCTGTAACGGAAGTCTGACCTCGTTAGCAGAGAGACTCCTGGGAGGAAACTGTTGATGACTTTACATCCGAGGCTACGAGCCGTTGGTGACGAACTGTGGACGAAAACAAAACAAAACAATCTTGTTGTTGATGTGTTTTCATTTTGAACCCAGTAACATCGTTTTCTTCTCCACGTACCTTAACTCTCTCGAGACTTTCCCCTCTCGATAGCCAAGTCCTATTGGACGTGTTTACCAAATTAGCAAACAGATCATGTGAGGGGCAGTAGTGCAATACAAATGATGTACAGCTGCTGGTCAAACCTAAAGGAGAAGAAGAAGGACATGAGTGATGTAGGAAATACACATTTTTTTTAAATTAAAATTAACCTAAATCAAGTAGCAGCAGCCACCAGAGGGCAGTGTCATAGTCCCAGTTCGTCCTAGTCTTACTTTAGTCTCCTACTAAACCATTGATTTTTGTAAACTTACTGTTAAGAAACACATACACAGAAGAACTAATAACAAACATTATTATATGATTGTGACACACAACATAAATTTATTTATTTATTTGACATCAAACTCCTCCAAGATAAAACCCACACTCAGGGTTATTCTGGATCTTATCAGCAGTAACCTCAAAGACTCAAGGATTTCACTGTCACACCACAGATTTCATGACTGTCATTCAATGACCAAAGTACTAATACACAGACAAGACTCGCAAAAAATAATAACATCAACAAGAATGAAGCTAAAACAATAAACTAAAAAAAAGTAGAAAAAAAGCGACGTACAAAATATGTAAAACAAATTGATATAATGGCTTTAGGAAAATCTGGTGTTAATGTTTTAAACTTTAACACCTGCAGAGGTGGCGTCTGCACGGTCAGTAATTAAAGCAGGTCAAATTCTCACTAATTCACACTGAATTTCACCCGGAGACAGAAAAACTTCCCTAGTTCCAATTTCCCTTTTTCTGCAGCCTCTCTAAAAATTCACGGGGACTTGGAAGTACGTTTTTGCCCTTGCAATTTTCTTGGATAAAGACGACAGGGGAGACGCAGGGACGAAAAAGCTTTTCCCAGTTGTGGGCCACCTTCACACCTGCCGAGATAATCATTCACAACAACGTCGCGCTCGCTTCTCACCTCTCTAAATCCAATTTACGTGATTATGTTCGGTGGCTGTGCCGTCTATTCCTGCTCCAGAGGCTCATTTGAGGTGCGTGGGTAATGGACTACAGTCTTTACGTTCTGACCAAACCTAGGGCATAAGTGCACCCAGGACTGGAAAGGTTCAAATTGTGCCCACAGATGTGACAGGCTTCTCACATCTTTCTCTGTCATTTCAGAACCTCAAGCAGCAATTTGGCCCCAAAATTGAGCTTTTAACCTTCAGTCATCAGGACGGAACATAACTAATGAGAATCTGCTAGTCATTTCAACCTCACTTCTTCTCAGTTCCGTACCTACAGTGTCTTATTTTACTCAAACGATGGCAGGATATTGTAGAACAGGATGTGCTTTCGTTGGAAAGTCACAGACTTAAAGGCAGAGTACGGCTGATTCACTAATCAATGTTCAGTTTTTAGTTATTTTTGCCATTTGACAGGAAGTGTAGTACATGTTTTCATCAGGAAGGGTTCGACCTTCCCTCTGTATTTTTTTTTTATTTTATTTCCGTGCAAAGTACAAATATTATCAGTGTAAAAAAAAACAACCCAGTAGGTGGCACTCATGGGCTTCTTGTAGATGTAGAGCTTCTTTTGAAGCAAAACAACAAACTTGGTGGTTGGAGCTCAAACACAATTAGAATAAAATTTATAAAACAATTTTGGTCACAAACAACTACAGGAGCAAAGTTTTAAATTTGTGACTTTTTTTAAGCAGTTAAGTGGTTTAATTAACCAGACCAGCTGTCGGTGGTCATGTGACACAGCTACATCCTAGTCCGTTCATCAAACCCTGAATAAAAGGCAATGAAATCTAAATGTATACTGTGTTTTTTTTTTGTGGAGAAAATATTTAGCTTCATTTCCCTAAAAGTTTTCATCCTGCAGTAAGAAAAACCTCATCAAAAACTGAGAAGAGTGGTTTTAATTTGTGCCTCTTGGTCGTTTTTTATCACCGAGAGAAAACCACTGCGGGTTTGTTCTCACTGTCCACAGACAGATAAATAATTAACAGTAAAAACAGCCAAGGAAAACAACACCATCCTTCATTCCTGCACATGTTTTAAGCAAATACGTGTTTGTGAAATGGGGACAAAGGCCTGTGGGGTCGCAGGGATCGTAAATTTCCCGTGAGAGGTGAAGGTGGAGGAGAGACTCACCGTTACTGCCACGGAGGTTCAAGGAAAGGAGGAGATATCAGAGCAGCATGAATCATTTTAACTGGGTCTCTCGGAGTCAGACTTCAAAGTAGACCTTGTGGAAGAAGTTCCCTGAAAACAACCAATAAAAGGAATTCACAATCACACAATAAAAGAAGTAAACCATTGGACTGGACCACTTACATGCATTTGTCAAATGAAATGAACCAGCCCCGGATTTCTCTGCCCTCAACTTACCTTATATAAGAAAATAAATTGAGAGTTTTGATCAAATCATCACAAAAGTATATGTAATTACATATAATAAACTTTTACTTTCAATTTACCAGCTAAATTTAAAACCTGTGCCTGTTAAGGTGAAACAGCTCTGACATAATCACAGGAATTGAAGAAAAACAATATAGAGATATTGAACAGCACTGACTGTTTTTTTCCCCTCTGTGTTACAGCCATCTGCAGCCACCTAGTGGAAGAGCATGTAATTGCTATGCCCGTCATTGCCACTAAGACAAATTATTTGAAGTACAAAGAAAACAATTTAGTCAAATTGCATCATTTTCCGTGGCACACATGACAGACGATGTGTGGTTAGAAATCCAGCCCACATTTTAAACACAAGGCCTGTGGGTGGTATGTTATTTTTAGAGAAAAATCTACAGTATGTCGTTTAGAAAACACATTTTTGTAGTGAGGTCATCCTGCCACCAGGGTTTAAACTCAACCACTTCTGCCATCACTTGGTCCTGAATTAGAACTGGCCACTGGTTAAAAATGCATATAATACACATACGCAATTTAATGTTTTTTTGACAGTGCATCATTTTTTTCTGAAAACACATTTTTAAGAAAGTGTTTTTGCGGAAACAGCTGGCACAGAGAAAGGAGAAGTCCTGTGTGCCCTGGGAGAGATGGATCCATCAGTAAGAGGAACAGAAGGTCGTATGTTCCCATCCAAACTCTTCACCCCAACAGGCCGCCCTCTACTTCACCACTCATCACATCCGCTCACGGACCAACCTGTTTACCACATCTACGTGTTCTACGCACGACAGACGTGCAAAAGCACAAACAAACCTGCCAAATTATAGCACGACAATGGCGCTACCAGTGGACAGATTGTGACCTGCAGCGTGCATTAAAAATATGTTTAAAAAAAACTGCACCAGAAGCAAATTCGCTAGTCTCGTATTTTAGGGCCAGGCAGCGGGCATCAAAACGAGGAATCAAAACTGCCCTGACCTCCGAGCTGGCAGGGTCTTGTCAAGGTCAAGGGTTCACGGTGACCTCTGAAGGGCCTGGCACAGGACAGGTCAGGCATCACGTGCTGGCAGCTTTGTAGAAGTGAGAGTGGGAAGTTGCTGCCGTTTACTGTGGCAACCTGGCACATGAGGTAACACAGGGGTCACTGAGGGCAGCTGATTTCACACATCGACCGCACTGGGAATTCCACTTTTTTTTAATCATTCCTGGTCTGAGAAATGAGGCCTGACGCTGGTTAGAGCTGGAGTTAATGGTTTTGACAGAAAAGTTTTTCACGTCTGCTGTATTTAAAAGAAAACAACTTAAACACAGGAACTGTTTTCATACAATATATACACACAAACATGTTTTTTTTGTGCATATTCTTTGCTTTAGCAAGCAAACTTTAGGTACAATACCGCCATCCACTGGGCTGGATGGTCTACATCAGTGTTAGGTAAATGGATCATTTTACCAACACATAAGTTTGTCTGTAAATTTAAAAAAAAATACATACTTTTCTTGCCACATAAATCCATACTCATCATTAGATCATTTGTAAAGAAGAAGATTTTGTTTGTTCTCTTATTCTGAACAGGCCTTGTGGTTAGTATTTTGTGGGCACAGAATGTTCAAGAGCCAATCATAGAGAGAAAGAACACGGTCTTCATTCCTCTCTCCATCCAGAGAGGCCACATCTGTCCATACCCTCCATCCCATCTCCAGGACTGTAATAAGAATTTCTCATTAAGTGGCCGACCTTAAAATCATGACATTAAACCAACAACGGCAGTTTCTACTGATGTCAGAATGATATTTTTTTTCCTCCAGCATCAAATACAATGATTTTGTTTAAAAGCCATTTAATGGTTTTACTGGAGTCTCATCCTGCAAATGAGTCACACGCCCTTCACAAAATGGAGATGAGGAGGAGGAGAAGTGTGAGAGACTTGGGATTGTGAGATTGTGATAAATTTTTTTTTATCTTCCTTCATGATTTGTTGCCTGCTGGACAGACTAAAAGCCCGCGGGCCGCGCTTTGATTTACGACGGCATGACCGTAAGAGACGGGTCACCGGGCTGAAGCTGAAGCACAGACACTACAGTAAGTTTTATGATAGACTATCAAACTCATTAAATTCATTCTGTCCAGACTGTGTTCAGAGCGGAGCCATCGGTTGAGTTCAATGAAACAACAAAAAAAAATCAGGAGACAACGTGAGACGCGTCCCGGGTTTGAACTCCGTCAGGATGTTTTCCTGCTGTTCCAGAACGCCGACAGTCTGGGGTCATCGCTGTTCCACGTTTATTTCAGTTTCAAATTTGGTCTCAATAATAATTTTAAAAAAACCCCAAGACATATAATACGATTTAAAGACATTCTCCTTCACTTTAAACACGATTTTATTAAATTATTGAAACTATAAATAATTACCAATAAACAGACTGACAGTGGTTGCCTGTGGCAATATAGGCAACGTCCATTGAGGGGGCGCCAAAATCACACAGACATCAGAAATAATATATATTTTAATATATGTCCTCTGGTCTTTTGTCTTGTTTGACTGCTAATTTTTAAATTTGTTTTTAATGTTTTTATTTTTGCATAGTGCACCACATTGTTCAGGGCCAGCACTGCAACTAACTTTTAGCAATCTTATGGCTAACATTTAGGTTTTTTCCCTTCTTTTTCCTTATTTTAAAATAATAAAAAATAATAATATAAAAATAATAATATGTAGAACTCACTTCCTCTAAATATGGAGAAGTAACTCATTGCAATGAAGCTTAACGTTTGTTTATCTGGCCAGGATTATTATATATAAAACGTGGGCGCACAGTGCCCTCTGGTGGTCACTGAACAAATAAACCAATGTTACACAGGCATTCTTTAGTTAGTACAATGATTCTGCTGTAAAATATAAATGTCCACACAAAGATGCACAAAACATCAATTAGTAATTACTTAATTATTTTTGGTTAATTGTTTTTTCTACTTTGTGGCTCACTTTTGATTTTACACACATTTTTTCAGGTTTTCATATCAGGTTTGGGTTGAGTTTCATTCAGTTTTTCCTCTTTATTTTATTTTTTTAATGTTTACTTTGTTTTAACAATAAATAACCCTTGTTGTTAGCTATTTCAGGCATTTCTTTTAGTGTTAACCTTTAATATTTATAACAATCTGTGATTAAATGTTTGCTCACCTTTCCTGTATATTTTAAGAAACACTGTGAACGGCACCGCTGTAGCCCAAAACACACTAAATGATAATTACAACTGACAGAACCTGTTAAACCAGCCAATAAAGTCTCACTGAAAACACACGTGCAGACGTTGATACAGATGGAGGAGTTCAGTGGAGTGTGAAAGCACTAATGAGATCCCTGACAATATAATTAACTCCAGAGGCTAAAGGAAAAGGACAGCTCTCTGTCAACACACTCCTACTCCTCCTCCTCCTTCTCCTCCAGTTGCTCCCTGCTCAAATCTTCATCCTTAATCACAATTTTTTTTGCCCCAAAACCCAAAGTATTCAAAGCACACGGAGTTATTCTCAACAACATTAAGCAAAAAAAAAAAGTTTACCTTTGAATGAAACATCTGGGTCGCAGCCCTCAGATGGGGCCACGCGGCAGCCAACCGCAGTTATGCCTTGCTCCTCGCGGTGCATCTATTCGGTCACGAAGGAGGGCTCGAGTCCTGGCCAAGGAAAGGTGACCTTTAAGAGACGAAGATTGAAATTACATTTAAATGCACACTCCTCAAATTCGTTCAGTTTATATTCGCTTCGCTGTGAATAGTTAAACAATAACGAGCCTTAAAAAGGGGACGGGACCTAAAGCCCTCCTCAGTACGACGACAACGCTTGAAACAAACACTTTGTATCCGACTGAGACTTAATCCACAGCAGCGCAGGTGAACTGTTAACTAACGAAATTTAGACAGCAGCGCAGGTGAACTGTTAACTAACAAAATGTATTTAAGTTAAACGACAAACTCTCGCACATCAGACCAGCTGTTTACAAACTCAGTTTTACCCAGAAAGCCTCTCTGGGTCTCCAAATATCTCCATGTGTGCTTCCTCCACCTGTTTGCTGATGATCTACCGCTGCTCCTGGTTAACAGTTAACCTCCTTTCACGCTTGATTTCACGGTTGGCGCTAATTCCTAGAAAGCAGTTCACCCAAGAGGTCAGAGAGTCGTGTGACGCCGGAGATGCCTCTCGGCCGCAGCAGAGACATCACCGTCTCATTGTCACACACTCACTGCAGCTACTGATTTATGACAGACAAGCAACCCCCCCGACCCCCTCCCCAAAAAACCGATGCCTTTGTCACCCAGTATAAAGGCCAGGAATCCTCAACGCTCCATTAATTAGGCAGTTTGTTGTAATGATTAAACCCCCTTTAGACGTGCACACTGTGCGACGTGACACATTAAAACAAACAATGTTACCCCCCTCCCCTCGCCCCCTGCAACCTCAAACAATTGAAGAATACCTTTGTGCACAAGAAACAACTGCAGAAAAGGGGAATCAAAATGACTTATACTTAAAACTTTACACTCAACCTTAGTTGCTATTTTATGTACAAAAATATCACGTCACTAACAACAAACGTTTAAACAATGATTCCATTAAAAATAACGCAATGATAACATGATGATAACGCAAGCACATATAATAAATAACATACGTTTTCAAGGTTAAGTCCATATTTGCATAAATGACATCCTACATAAATAAATAGCCATAAACCCATGACCATGATTTAAGATAAAATAAATAAAAACATAAGATGCTGCAGAGAACAGGGAGAGATGGAAATCAATGACTCACTGTGGACACCCCTGAAAAAAAAGGGACAAAGCCGAAAGAAAAAGAAGAAGAAATAAAAACATAAATAAAGAAAATAAATAGCAACATTATCTGAAGGTCAGCTTAAAGGAAGCTTCAAAACTTACCAAGATCACACCAGATGTAAATAGAAAGTGCCAAAGAACAGAGATTAAAATGGCAGCAAATATATAGCAACATTAGGCTAATAAAAGGCTAAAAACAAAAAAAAAGTTGTAAGAATATAACACAAATTACTAAAGCTAAAGCCTGGTGGTCTAACCAGGTACCACCAGGTGTCCCCCAAACACATGCTTCCCTTTCAGGTTTGTCATCGCCAGTATAACTCCCTCAGTGGACTCTGATTTCTTTTAAAAAAAAGAGTTGAAAGGTGGACTTGATATCATCAAGATGTCACCAGATGCTGTTCAAAGTGTGGACGTTCGATACATTGATTAGTGTCTCTTGAAGGTGTAGTTCACCTGAAGGTGAGGGGGTGGAGCGTAGGCACAACCGTGTGGAAAACAGTTGGCTTCACAGAACAGACACCTGCTGGATCTGTTTGAAGACGATACATTGTTTCATTAGGCAGTTGGTTCCCGTCGGAGGGCTGTCACAAAAGGGCGGGAAGAAAGAGACGAGTACCGGCACAAGACGCCGTTCGGTCTGAAACGATCGATGTGTGTTTAATCGTCTCTAGGTCGGTGGTTCTGTGTTGTCATTCATCCCCCTTCGCCCCACTCAGATATGACCCGAACACGACAGGAACTTTAACTTTCTTCATCACATCAAAAGACAAACCGTAAAGCTGTAGTAGCCACAGTCTGACGCTGGGGGTCAGTAAAAGCTCGTGTCGATAAAGCACACGCCGAGTCAAACAAATAATGTAATATAATATTGACTTACACTCTCATCGGTACCATAGTTGTCTGTCGACACTGTTGTCAATCTGCACGACACGTTATCTTAACATAGCGCCACCTACAAAAAAAAAACAAAACAAAAAAATAAAAAACACACACAAAGTGGCGTAAAATGAAGCATATTGAAACTTGCACACGTTTAAACACCAGTGCCAAATATCTTGTTGCTAAGCCTCTAATATACTGTAGATGTTAGCTGTAATTTTTCTTAACTATCTTTTTTTTTTTTAACATTCCATAAATGTCAGTTACTGGACTCGTAGCATTTAATAAAGTACAAGTCCCAGCAGCAGAGCTGCAGTTACAGGAAACAGAAACCATCGTGACATCATCACATTTACTGTAATATTAGTGAATTACTGTATCCTCGCTCGTGCACAGCTTTAACTCCGTTCAGTTAATCCACATAAAACATCTCTTGCAATAATTTACAATTTAATTAAAAAAATAAAAATAAAAACAACTGGATTCTCTTTAACATTTAACCACAGAAAATACAACCAGGTGATTGTAGTGTAGATTTACGTGCCTGTGTTCCGCCCATGTTCAGGTGATTGTAGTGTAGATTTACGTGCTTGTGTTCTGCCCATGTTTTGCTGGACATTTCGTGAGATGATGATGATGATCACAGGTTGACACTCAGTCTCAGTCACTGGCTGTGATGCAACACGGAGGATACCGGCAGCTGTTGGGACCACTGGCTGTGATGCAACACGGAGGATACCAGCAGCTGTTTGGACAAAAGAAGAAGAAGTGAGTGTTGAGTGTAAACAGGATTTAAATTAAATTAATAAAATAATCCAATCAGTGGAGAAGCCTTGAAACAGTTATTAAAGCAACTGACAAAGTCTACATGCCAGTGTGTCCCTGGGAGAGAGACTGAAAGTGAATAACAGAAAAACCTGAACGTTACGGATGGGATGGTGGCGTAAAGACGAGAAGATGAAAAGAACACCAAGTGCTGAGTGTTTAGGTTAACGTTAACTCTACCCCCGCAGAATCGCCTGTTAGGACGTGAGGTAACAAACTGGCAACTGTATGTTGACCGTTTGCCAGTAACAACAGAGTTTTCAGCCAGAACCGTTGGCAGTCACTGTGTTGTGTTTTATTTCTCTATCTCAGTCCAGTTGAGATTTACATTTATTTAATTCAATTTCCCTAAAATAGGACAGAAACACCATTGATTGGTGGAGATCTGTTTTCTCTGCTTTAGGCTTTCATAGTATTCATTATTGTAGAAAATTCAACACAAAACATTGATTTATTACTGCAACTCCAGGCACTGATATCACTGAGTTTTACCCTGGTATCCCAGGCTTTGGTTTAAAAATAAACACTCTGTCCATGACAGAAAAACCTCCTCCTCCTCCTCCTCCTTCTTCTTCTTCTGTTTCCCTCCTCTCTTTTCTTTCCTCTTCTGTCTGTGCTTGTGAGTGTGTGAAGAAGAAAGAAAATAAAAATCATCCCTCCCTCCTCTGGCAATAAACTTAGTGACCCTCTGTGCTGCAGCGGTAGTGCTCATCTCGGCATCGACTTCCTCTGTGGAGAGGAGAAAAAAAAAATCAATAATCGAGGGTCAAAACAGCCACAGAAGGAAGGAGTAGTGGTAACACTATAAAAGCAGGAGCCGAGGAATCATCCAGGACCAAACACAGAGATTTCACACTGACGTGTGTTTACCTTTAGATTTCCTCCTCCTCCTCCTCCTGTTGGATGACAAATATTCTCCAGGGTCACAGTTCTGCCCAGGGTCATGACCTGACCCCAGCTCTGGGATGTACAGCAGCTCTGGATGTTGTAGCCTTCAGGACAACCTTGGAGGTGATTAGAATCTGGAAAAGCCTGTAATTAACAATAACTGGCATCAAAACAATGTGTTGCACTGACCACTATGTGGCGTTGTTTTTTCTGCTACATACACAAAATCCTTTGAATTAATGGCAAAGTAAAAAAATTCAGTGCGACAGCAAAGGAAAGAAAATTCTAGATTTAGTTCATTTTCATTCCTTATTTGTGTCTGTCTTTCAGACAAACATTTACGTCTTAGACTTAAGATTGAAATTTTTTTTTTCGTAACTTGACAATACATGTTGCCAGTAGAGGGTGCTAAAACAAACTAAGTAATCACGTGTCTAACTGGACATAAACATGTCCTAATATTTAAATTTCAAGTTCTTGTGAGGTGAAAACTGAGAAAAACAAACATAGCGCCAAAGTGTTGTTCTTAAAACCAGTACAGGTGGCGCTGTGAGTCCGTTTTAGAAATTTTGACCAGCATAATAAATGTTTGTAGCTCTTTCTAGAGGAACTCTGATTGGCCCTAATGTGAAGACTGCTCTCCACACAGATGGTCATCTCTCACTTCTCACCACTCACAGCCTTCGTCCTGAATGTGCCGCCTCCGAGTATCTCTGGCTCTACGCCTGTCGGGGTTCAAGCCGTGGCTCCTGCTCCTTATCAGGTGTCAGATGTGGCTCTGGTGTCACTGAGACCTTGTCCATTTCCCTTCACACCTTACTTTTTCAGCTTCGACACATCGGGTGGGGGTGGGAGGGTGGCGTTGGGTCAGGATGGAGCAACCAGCAGTCGACATGGAAACAGTTTGAGTTAATATTCACCCTGAGACTTTTGGAATTCACACCTAAAAAAATGTTAAACATCTGAAAATGCTAACTCAATGTTAGCAACACTTCATGTTTCAAATCATGTGAAACTTTCCTGGTACAGTTTTGCTCATCAGGTTAATCAGAACATATGACTAAAATCTAACCAATATATAAAATAAAGAAGATGTAGCGTATTAGCAACGAAGTAACCAAAGTTGGCCAGAAATCAGTCATAAATGAACGGACGGAAAAACATCTTTACAGCGAGTCCTCATCAACACAACAGTGGGAACCAAACTTCATTAGGTCCAAAAAAAAAAAAAAAAAAGGTTCCAAACGTGGTTGTGTGTCTCAGCCTGGAAAGTCCCAAACACAACCGTGGGAACACAATACATGAAAGGCAGCAGCTCAACACCAGGATAAGTGAATGAGTCGTTCAAATGCAGCTCTGTCTCCTCAGCATTATTGGCAATTAGTGGCTGATAAGTGAGCAGGAAGAGCAGCAGACAGTGTGTGGATGAAGTCACGAAGCTGTGGTACAACCGGCACGGACCGAGGGCCACGAAGTTCACAGGAAGTGATTGGGAAAATGAAATCATCAGTTTATGATGATGTGTTTTTACAGAAGAAGAAGAAGAAAAATATATATTTACAGTTAAAGTAGGGATGTAAGACGAGGTCATGTTCTTTGGGTTTGCCCCCCACCTACAAAAAAAAAAAATTCCCGACTTCAAAACCATTAAAAAAATTACAGACAGTTTCTAAAATTCAAAAGCTGAGCACAGATCGTTCAGCCATGAGCCGGAGATTCCTGACAAATCCCAGAGTAAAGGAGCATGACGTCAACTTCACTGTTAATTAAAAAAAAAGCTAACGTTTCTCTAAATGTCTTTTTTCTGACCTCCAGTTTCAAACCAATTAAATAATTTCCTCCTCACAGACGGTGGTGGTGATAAAAGGGTTAAATCTAGAAAGTAAGACTGAATTTAAATTAATTCGTCGTCCCCCAGAGACCAATTAAGAATTTCTGCTTCAGTCTGAATTCTTTTTTAGGGTCACTGAGCCAGAGTCCGTCCTAGGGCCACGGATTGAAACACACAGTGATGCCTACGGCCAATTAAGAGAGTCCAAATCCAGAGTATCTGGAAAAAAAAGAACCCAGAATTGAACCAGTACGTTTGTGGCTGTAAGGCACGATCTGTATCCGCCCTGGCACTGTGCGGACCAACGAAAAAAAAAAGAAAAAAAATATTTCTACTGACTATTTCAGTGCAGGAGTTGGAGCTCCTGTTGGTCAACAGTGGTACTGCGGTCTACATGGCACACGCAGGTGGCTTCCAAACAAAGAAAGGGAGAAGTCTGTGATTACAGGAAGTGTTTACGGAAAACCAGACAATAAAAGTCATGAGACGATTTTGAGCCATGGCGGGGGAAAAAAGGGGGGAGACCCCAGAGGACCCCCCCCCCCACGAGAGTGTTACAGAAGTTGGTGTCTAAATTATTTCCCGTTCCACAAACGGAACCAAGTTTTCTCAAAACACTGACGTTTACATTTCCGTTCTCCCTCCAACTTCTATTTTTGTTTTTTTTTTATTATTTCTGGATGATTCAGTTCCAGAGTAGCTTCGCTGTCAATATTAGAAGGGTTCAAATACCTTTGGAATGTTGGCTTTGTTTTGAAGTTCTGTAAGGAAACAAAGTCTAAACACCTTAACCCTATACACACACACACACACATAAATAGTCCTGACCACGGGCTGGAATTTTCTCCCTCCCTTTCATGTTTGTCCAACGGGGACTATTTATACAGCCAACACTTGTTGTCTGGAAAAGTGCGAGCCAGTGCTTCAACCTCGATCTCCACTGTACACAAGCATATAAACACGACCAGGGCTTCACACACACACACACACACACACACTCCGCTGCCCCTTCTTATCAACAGGAACCCAAAGTTCCTCCAGTGGAAATGTCTTTGTTCCCCCTCGACTGCCACACAATGAGTGCGACTCTCTGGAGTCGACTGAAAGGCACGGCCGACGAAGGGCCTTCGCTCATTCCAGGCATAGCACGGCGGAGGTGCTGACCTTGGCGAGGAACTATTAAAACTGTTTCTCCGAGTGCAGGTATGTAGAGAACATTCACCTTGGCAGATGGAAACAGACTCACACCGACGCAGCCGAGAAAAAATATACGTACGAACGACGTGAGCGACACCTCGGTCAGTCTGGACAGGACAGGAAAGGGTTAAAAACAAATAAAAGGAGTTAAGACCGAATGTGTTTAAAGAGAGTGAGTCTTAAAAAAAAAAAATCTGACATTATTAAATACAGTCTTCAAACCACACGCTTCAGAGTCCCTGGAATTTTTGGTGTTGACAAACCAATTTAAATCAAACCTTGACGTTTCTTTGTATTTGGTTTTATTTCCCGTGTAACGCAGCATTAGTTTA